TGTCTAATTTTGCATTAAAGTTAAGAAGGCTGTGTGGGAGAGTATATGTTCCGCTATTGAAGTCTTCCATTAGAATGCCACCATAAGAGGACTCTTGCCTACTTCCTCTCTAGAAACCACAGCAGTAGACAATTGGTGATATTCTGCTTATATCAGCAGAGTCCAGGACAGACAACACAAGCCAAACACCAGGTGAGGCAGGAGGAACAAGCCAAAGGATCAGAGTCACAGTGAAATCCTCTCTGCCAAATGACCTCATCTATCAATCTGCGCTCCTCTGTACATGCATGCAAAGAGAGGCAGAAGACATTTTACAGGCATGCAAACTAGTAATGTGGGCCTTCAAAAACCAGCAAAAAAGGAAGCTCTAGGACATGACCTACCAAGTGGGGCTATGCAACTCATCTGACAGTCCCAACCTATGGTTTAAGACCACTAGCCTCACCATGGATACTGGCCATAGTTAATCCATTATATAATGATCAAATAAACATAACAGCAAGTGTAATGTAAATCAAATAAGCATAACAACAAGTATGATATAATGAAATGTAAATCAAATAAGCCTAACAACAAGTATGATATAAATCAATAGGCCAAAGTGCAAAGATAATAGAAACAGTCAGAGTCTTCTCTAGCATAGAGGCAATATCAAAGTCCAAATTGGAGTGCCAATCAAATTTTCTGAGCCATCAAAAGCCGACGCGTAATCCGGATGCCTGAAGCCGCGTTTCGAATTGTTCTTATTCAAGTATGGCTGTAATGGGACCCAGTCTCAAAAGCTGGCATACGCTAAGCCAGAATGATCAGTCAAGGAGGATTAAGGGTCCTCCTTGACTGATCATTCTGGCTTAGCGTATGCCAGCTTTTGAGACTGGGTCCCATTACAGCCATACTTGAATAAGAACAATTCGAAACGCGGCTTCAGGCATCCGGATTACGCGTCGGCTTTTGATGGCTCAGAGGCTTTTGATGGCTCAGAAAATTTGATGATTGGCACTCCAATTTGGACTTTGATATTGCCTCTATGCTAGAGAAGACTCTGACTGTTTCTATTATCTTTGCACTTTGGCCTATTGATTTATATCATACTTGTTGTTAGGCTTATTTGATTTACATTTCATTATATCATACTTGTTGTTATGCTTATTTGATTTACATTACACTTGCTGTTATGTTTATTTGATCATTATATACTTGCTTATTTGCTTGTTAGTTATTTTTTGCCAAGTGGTGTTCTCTTTTTTTTGGTTCTTACATAGTACACTGGCTCCCCCCCCCTTTTTTTGGCTGCTTGTACATAGTTAATCCATACCATGTTCCTCTTCACCATACCTCGAAGGTGGTTAAGTCATGGTTATACTGGGAACCCTGGCTACTGTTAAACATGATTAATGCAGACGTAAGTTTGTGGTTCAGTAGTTCTCAACCAGTGGTACAACGTAACACCCATGGAACACAGAAGCAGTCTAGGTAGGATAACAATGACCAAGAATCTGCTTTTCCTAAATCCCCAAATTCACCTGTAAGCGTGATGTGCTGTCTCTTACCAACCTTACCTGCCATGGATTGTCCATCTGTGACATTCTGGCCTGCTAGCACTATTAACAGTATTAATAACAAAATGCCTGTAAACCTATAAAATGTCCTTCTCAGAAAAAGCAGGGTTTTATTTCTATCATGGTGGGGCGCAGGTTCAACAGAGCAATTGGTGGGACATAAGGTACAAAAGGCTAAGAACTACTGGCTGAGGCTACTGTAGGGACAGGGCAGGGGGTAATTTTTACAGAAAATGCAGGCAGGAATAAAACAATTCTGTGCCTCAGTCTCTTAACTAATCTTAGAGATTGTCATGTCTTCCCTAGATTGTAATCTTTCTTGCATAGCACTAAGCTATATTAAGTAACGGCTGTACTTAATTCTAAATTTTTCTTCTAAAATGTTACTCATGCATGAAAGGCTGGAACTAGACATCGAAAATATGTTTGACATGTATGGGTATGATCCAGAATGTTTTGCTGCAGAGAACCCAAGTTATTTTAAACTCTTACCCAACAGCAGCTCCTCCCACTGAACCCCAAACTATTGTGGGGGGAGGCTGAGCCACTGAACTTAGAATCGGTGTGAAGGACAGTAAGCAAACTTGTTGAAAGGAAAGGAAGTAGACTGAGTGAAAGATCTGCAAAAGATTAATTTGAGTGGAAATACGCCACTGTGGCTGCTACAGCCAATTATGGCTATACAGAATGAAGGGGGGAAATAGCTGATAGTCACAGCACGTTAGCTGGAATAACTGCTAAATAATTAACACACCACATTATTGTCAGCAGGTACTTCTTCAATTAACCTCTGGGTATTTAACTGGCAGCTCTGCCAAGAGAAAGCAAGTGATTCTTAAACATGCATCTCAAAGAGAAAGAAGGAAAGGATAGCCCCTGACAACCTAGAAAGATCAGAACAATCACATCCAGGGCAACTCTAAAAGAGGGGTCAAAAGATAAAGAAGGGAATTAGATACATTGAAGGCAATCTGACATTCTGCTACTTGCATAGAGCATTTTAATTCTGCTCCATTATTTTCTGTGCTTTGGTCTCCGCTGACAATCCTGCCAATTTCCCCAATGTTAGGACACGCACAGACTGCTAGGGTCTTTCTCTCTCCATTTTCCACCTTGAAATCCTTCAAACTTTTTTCCTGTTCTGATCAATTTTACCTTCTTTAAAGGTTAGGAAGCTACATTACTAGCAATTAATGGTTTTTCACAACTCACCATGCTAAATCAAAGGAAAAGGTTTGATTGTTGTTGTTGGAGGGGCCGTGGCTCAGTGGAAGAGCCTCTGCTTGGCGTACAGAAGGTCTCAAGTTCAATCCCCGGCATTTCCAGTTAAAAGGACCAGGCAGGGGGTGATGTGAAAGACCTCCGCCTGAAACCCTGGAGAGAGTTGCTGCCAGTCTAAGGCCCCGGTCACACGGGAGGTTTTGGGCCGGAAGAGGGACGGATCGGGGGCACAGCAAATGGGCGCGAGCACACCGCAACATCTGGGAAGCAGCACGCACCCGTCCCTGATCCGGCCCTTCAGGCCGAAAATGCGCTGAAAAAAAGAACCAGCAAAAGAGGAGGACTTACCTGAAACGGCACAGCAAGCGCAGCCATGGGATTGCCGGCGCGCCTGTCTTCAGGAGCATTTGAGGCTCCCAGCCGAACTGCGCATGCGCACACATGCACAGCCGGCTGCCTCACGCTCCCTTCTGTGGCTTTCTCCACGGCATCTGATCGTGCCGGGGAACAACTGTGCGGCTCATTGGATCCGTCTGATCACGCCGCTGCGTGTTTCTTTTGGTGCAGCTCTGAATAGCTGCACTTTGGCCTTTGGCCCCCCCAAACCCCCCCCCCCCCGGTGTGGCAGGGGCCTAAGTAGACAATACTGACCTTGATGAACCAAGGGTCTGATTCAGTATAAGGCAGCTTCATGTGTTCATTACATGTTAGGTTCTTTGCAAGCTAATTAGCACTTTGCCATGAAGCTCAGGTCCTGTGCATGGGGCTGTTCTATGCTGCTCTTGGATTTTAACTTGAACTATCAAAACAGTATTCCTTTTTTTTTTTTAGCTTCTTTCAAGCATACCTTGCATGCCCTTCCCTTTATCCTTCCTTCCTTCCTTCCTTCCTTCCTTCCTTCCTTCCTTCCCCTTTCATCAATGGAATCCAACTAAAGACTTCGTGACATGGGAAATTCTAATTTGCCAGGGTATCCAGTTGCACACAGCTGTACAATTTGAAGTTTATTTCTTTCCCGCAAACCAGAATTATAAACTAGAATTAAACTGTGGTTTAGAACTTTTATCTGAAAGAACAACTCTACTTGATCTAAATGTTTACATTCAGGCATCACAGCAAACTGGAGTTTAATTGAAGGCTTCCAAAATCAGGATGTTTTCAACATTCTAATAATGAGGAGGAGGAGAGAACACAAGCAGCACAGCAACAACTAGTTTTATGCCCATTACAAACATCTTCTGTCAGTGGATGATGTCTGAATGCAGCCTTTGAGCTGTTAAACAGAATTTAGGATCCTGTAAGAAAACCTTGCAGGAGGAAGCCTAGTTGAGAACAAATTTATCACTCAGGCTTCAGGCCCAGTACTGGAGAGTATCTTAAATGTGCTTGCTTATAAATGGGGCTTAAGTACATGAACTCAATGAACACAAATAGTCAAGTTCTACCCTTGTTTCTAGGTCTTCCGTTTCTTTCGAGCAATTTTTTCCAGATTGGAAAAAAATGTGGATGTTCACAAATTGGTACCTATGTAACCAAGTTGGCAATACTTTTATTTTATTTTATTTTATTTATATCCCACCTTTCTCCCCAATGGGGACCCAAAGTGGCTTACATCTTCCTCCTCTCCTCCATTTTATCCTCACAACAGCCTTGTGAGGTAGGTTAGGGCTGAGTGTGTGTGACTGGTCCAAGGTTACCCAGCAAGCTTCAAAGGCAGAGTGGACATTTAAACCTGGGTTTCCCAGATCCTAGGCAAACATTTTAACCACGACACCTGTTCAGACAGAGAAAGTGCTCCACTTAAATGTTATGCTGACAAAGGCTCACATCCTAAGCAGAACTAGTGGAGTGAGCTTACAGGAAAGCAAGTCAATCCTCCACTCCCACTGTAGCCTTCTTTGCCCCCCCAAATCATGTCTCTTTGGGTTGCTGGACCCAAAGGAACACCATGGGGAGAAAACTGGAAGTCTGTACTGGGGGTAGGGGGAATCAGCAAAAATCATCTTCTTTTCCACAAATGGAAATGCTGTTCTGTCAAATGAGTTGTTTCTATACCAAATGACCTGCACCATGGCATCCAAACCCAAATGTGGAAGACAGTGTCAGAGCACCGCTGTTTTAGTATCAACACTATGAAATAGCAATATTGCAAATAGCAATAAGGTTCCAATAGTCAAAGGTCAACATACAAAGGAAAACATGCAAATGCATCCAACTAACCTGATGCTCGCCTAGTGAACCGGTTTAACACCGGAGCTAGAAAAGAAAAGAAAAATGATTGTTAGCAACTTCTCAACATTTTAAAGACAACATAGTAAAACTTTGCTATCAGTATGTGAACCAAATTGTAAATACATTCCATTTCACACAATCTATTACACAATCCACTGCAGAACTGTCGAATCACACACAGATACACTGATAAATCTCTCAAACATCTTAAAGGAAACTGAACAGAACTAGAAGACTCTGATGATGAACTCAAGGCAATCTGCAAAACTCACCCCCTTCTTCTACTGCCACTTCAACCACTTTTGTTTTGGCCCTGAAACACAGCCTCCAAAGCTTAGTTGGTCATTCTTAGCAGATATATGAATTCATAGACAACATTACCATCACGCTTTGTATGAGTATACTCTAACTCAAGAATGTGATTAGCCAGTTGCCCATTTACCCAGACTGAGTATTGAGTGAGAGAACAGAACATTGGGCTTACTGTGAAGGTTCCCTCTTCTCAAGGGTGACAAGGACACTCTGATATGCTTGGGTTTATATATTTTTTACTTTATTTATTTTTTAGATTTATACCCCGCCCTCCCCAAAGGCTCAGGGCAGCTAACAAGATGGCAAGAATGCCAACATTAAAACATTAAAACCCATTAAAAATGGGCTCCTCTTCCCATAATCCCTGGAGACAGGAAATTAATTGCACTTTCCATCTCTGGGGGTGGGGAAGCCCACCCATCAGTCTGGAGACTTCCACAACTGTTAACAGCCCACAATGTATGCCGAATAAACAGAGAACAAGGCTTACAGACCCCTATTAAACAAACCATACAGGTAAAGATAAATGTTAGAACAGTGAAAGAACAAAAAATGTGGAAATTGGCAATTAGTCACTAGGTTGAACAGAGGCCCTCCAACTAGTGTGGGTCCAGAGTGTCCTCCTCACCCTCGGGAAGAAGGAACCTTCATGGTAATGTTCCGTTCCCTCTCTTAAGGGGGAGGAGGAGGTTATATGAGCTCAGGATGTTATAAAGTTCATCTGATTCAAGAAAGGAAGAGTGACAGCCAAGCACAGAGATAACAGTAGAACTAAACCACTTGCTGTAGGACTCTCTGCCCAAATGATGCATCAGCATCCACCTTGTAGCACCTGATAAACATCAACACCGAGGCCAAGGTAGTGGCCTTGCATATATCTGCAATAGATGCATTTGTGTCAAACGCTGCTGACAGGGGAAGTACTTCTTGTTGAATGAGCCGTGTTCCCATCTGGGACTTGAAGGCCCTGAGATTCATATGCCAAGGAGATGCAGCCCTTTAGCCACCTGCTTAGTATAGCTTTAAAACCATTTCTTCCTTGCCACAAAAATGGAATACAACTTCCTAAATGGCTTGGACCTTCTGATATAAATGCAAAGTGCTCTGCTGAGGTCAAGTGGGTGCCAATTCTTTTCCCTAGGATGAGATGGTTTGAGGCAGAAGGGTGGCAAACATATCTCTTGTGAGCTGTGAAAAGTGTGTTGACCTTGGGAATGAAGGCGGGATCTGTGTGCAGGTCCACCATGTCTAGTGGAATATGCATAAGCCCTTTCTGATGGAAAAAGCACCTATTTCTGAGACCCATCTTTCTGCTGTAACTGCTACCAGGAAAAGTATCTTCAGGGTAAGGAACTTTAGGGAAACTTCTCTCAGAAATCTCTTCACCACTGGGTGCCTGGAAAGTGGTATACTACAAACTGATGAAAGTATGGTGTTCAGGGTAGCTACCTGGCAATGAAGAGTGCTTGCTCATAGACTCTGAGAAACTCCATCCTGTAGGAAGGACAATACCTAAGGAAGATCCAGGGTGTCTGGTTGCAGGATTTTTAATGCTTTCTGTAGGAGACGAGGGAGCTCCTCATGAGAAAAAAGGCCGTGAGTTGGCTTGTTTTATCTTCCTCTTTATCTAAATCTGCCATCAGAATCCTCAGAGCCTAAGGGGGAATCCCTGTCTTCAGATCTGTAGTCTCGGAAATTTGAATGGTTGCTTCTAATGGGGAAGGTGTTTTTACAAATGGCCTTTGTTGGCCAAGAGGAGCTCTGGCCTTTCTCTGTTTCTAGAGGCACTGAAGTAGAAGGTGTTTAGCTGGAGGGAAGGGTGAGGGAGGAGAGGCCTCACTTTGTCTTTTCTGAGAGGGTAAACGAGCTCCCCTCCCCCCAACAGATTGGAGACAAATTGTTCTAGCCAGTCCTGGAAGCCTGGCGAGACAACAAATGGCTCTCCCCCCCTCCTGGCTTCCCATGTGGTGGGGAGCTGTTGTCTCCTTCCTACGGCTGGCTACACTGAGCAGGCCTGATGGGCCAATGCAGGTCATCCTGGCTGGTCAGCAGAGGGCGGAGTTCTGGCATCAAAAACCAAGCCTATGTCTTTATTATCTGAGCCAGGCACTTGTAATGTCCCCCTTTGGCTGTGGGTTCCTAGGTCAGAGTACTCATTCAGGCACTCATTCTCAGGTCCATTCAGCAGAGACAAGTTGGCTCAAAATATCAACCATTTATTTGCAAGGGGACAACTCTCACAACCAACAATTACAGTTAACATGCAAAACTGAGCTCCACCCTTATAGGACCAAACTAAATCACACAGATGGGGGGGGGGAGCAGACTGTTCCATTACATATATACATACATACAATAACTATAACACAGTGCTTCACAGTCAATGGCTCCCTCCAGGAAATCTGCCACAACAGAACAGCTGGGCAAATGGGTTAGCAGGGATTTCTGCTGCCTGGAGATCACCTCCCCCAACTCTCCCTCGGGTGAGGTCCCATGGTTGGAGACCTTTCCTGCAGACAGTGCAGTGACTGAAGCAGAGGGCAAAAGCAAACAGCCTCAGGGAAGACAACGCCAGAATAATAAAGGTTTTTTCTTTGTTTGCTTTTAAACAAAGGGAAAGGCACATATGTCGAAAGGAAAGAACAAAGTGCAACCAAATGAGCTCCTTAAAGGAAAATCTCAGGAGCTCTCTAAACCCACTGCTCTCTCAGGCAGAAATAGGAAAAAGACTGAGGGGTGGGTTTCTCCTTCCCCCAGAGACAGAAAGTGCAATCAATTTCCTGCCTTCAGGGATTGTGGGAAGAGGAACCCAAGCATATCTGAGTGCTCCTTGTCAGGCTAGAAAAAAATTCCATGTTAGTCCAGTCTGGTCGGATCTCAGAAGCTAAGCAGGGCCGGCACACGTTAGCACTGGGATGGGAGATGACCAAGAAAGTCAAGGGCTGCTACACAGACCAGGGCAATCGCAAATCACCTTTGAATGTTTTGTCTGGGAAACCCTGTGCGGTCATCATAAACTGACTGCAACCTGATGGCACTTTACATGCATATCTCAAGCTGGCCATGTTACTTCTCTTATTCCCTGGAAGGATATCAGCAAAGATACAACACTGTCTCACACTTTCTCTCTTTCTCCAATGGGTACCTTGCTTCCAGTGGCCTAGGAAGAATGAGAACAGCCACAAGGAACAGAGACTTTTGCAAGTTCTTAAAATGCAGCTGATTCACAATTTAAAACATCTGAGCAGAATCACCAGAAATTGCCAGTTTAGCCTTGATCAAGCCCATATTTTTCTCTTTGTTTTAATTAACTTTTATTTACTATCCCGAGTACTCTATTAAGTAGGAAGAGAGGAGATTCGATTTATACTCCGCCCTTCACTACTCAAGAGAGTCTCAGCGCGGCTTACAAACTCCTTTCCCTTCCCCTCCCCACAACAGACACCCTGTGAGGTAGGTGGGGCTGAGAGAGCTCTGACAGAAACTGCTCTTTTTCAAGAACAGCTGTGCCAGAGTTATGGCTTGCCCAAGGTCATCCAGCCAGGTGCAAGTGGAGGAGTGGGGAATCAAACCCGGTTCTCCCAGATTAGAGTCCGTGCACTTAACCACTACACCAAACTGGAGGAATGTTAATCTAATAAATAGGCTAAACCCCACAATTAACTATTTAAAATACTTATATGTTTCCTACCTCAAGCATCAAGCGCTACACAACGGTTTACCATGTTTTTCAAATGTCAGATTTTGATAATGAAACAGCTGCCAAATATCTAAGTTGTTGCATATTTCATAACTTTTTTCCTAATTCTGAAATGCATATGAAGCAGAAGCATGGAAGCACTCCTTTCTGCTAAAGTGTACCAGTCATCTCTAGTTAACAGCTCTTTAGCCAATACATTCACTGTCAGTTTATTTGAAAAATACAGCTCACTGCCACAAACAGGGAGAATATTCTGGTCCTTTGTGAGCAGCTTCCTGTCCTGCCTGTAAAGAATCTTGATGGTTCTTTGTGGCACTGAGACAGACAGCAACGGAAGAAGGGGGATAGGTATGAAAAACCAAACCACAGTGACTTGGTTAGCTAAACAAGGTCACTCCCAACCTCAGAAAAAAGAAGACTCCTTTCTTTAAGCTTTTTTGCACTATATGTCTTGTGCGGGGACTCTCCCTCTTCGACTCACTCATCAAAGTGGGCTAGAAGCCAATTCCAGAGCCATCACCCCACCTACCAAACTCTTCCCCGGCATCTTCATTTGCAACTCTGGGAGGCTAAACTGGTTCTGGGACCCCTAGTTACAAACTTAACTGACATTGGCCTATCAGGCCTGCTCAGGCTAAAACAAATAAAATGAATTTCAATGGGGATAAATGTAACGTTCTGCATTTAGGTAGGGAAAATGAAATGCATAATTATAGGTTGGGGGAGACTTATCTTGGCAGTAGTGTGGTGAAAAAGATCTAGGGGTCTTAGTAGACCATACACTGAACATGAGTCAGCAGTGTGATGCGGCTGCTAAAAAGGCAAATGTGATTTGGGGCAGTATCAATGGAAGTATAGTGTCCAGGTCATGCGAAAAGATGGTACCACCTTACTCTGCTTTAGTTAGACCTCACCTAGAGTATTGTGTTCAGTTTTGGGAACCACAATTTAAGAAAGATACAGACAAGCTAGAATGTGTCCAGAGGAAGGCAATGAAGATGGTGAGGGGTCT